TTTTAAATATGTCATAAATATTTGGAAGTTCTTTTGGATTAGGTTTTTTTTAAAGTGTTACTTCTTTCTCCCTCACTTTATAGTAATGTTATTTGAAATACAGAGTTGGGCTCATTTGTTATGTTTAAGTTCAGTTCCCTCCTCCTGTTTTTGTTTGTATATTTGAATATTCATAATAAATATGCTTCCAAAAATCAAACTTTTCAGAAAAATATAATCAGAAATGTCACTCCCTACCATCCTACTTCACTCCTCACATTTGTTATGGGCACCATTTCATTGTTTCCTAATTCATCTTTTCTACATTTCTTACAAGTCATTCTATATAAAAGTTTTAGTTCTCCTTTCTCACACAAAAATCATTATGTTGTAGGTACTGTTGCATTTTGCTTTTAAAAGTTGACAATATAACCTAAAAATCAGTATCAGTTTGTAGAGCTCTCTTCACTCATTCTTCATAGCTCCCTTGGGCAAACTGTACCACATTTATTCAGCTAATTTCCTGGATTTGTTTTCAGTCTTTATTTCCATTTGTTTATTCTAGCAATAATACCTCCCTGTCTTGATGCTTAGTAGTAAAATATCCTATTTTTCATCCTGTTTACCTATTTTCTGTTTCAGGATTTTCTTGACTTATAATGGCGCTTTACATTTCCATGTTTGCTTCTCACTTTTCCTTAAGGGAAAAAAAAATCTAATGAAATTTCATTTGACATTGCTTTCAAGCTATAGGTTGCTTTGCTGAGAATTGATTTCTTTATGAGCTTGAGCCTTTTAGAGCCTGAACATGTTATATATCTTCATTTATTTAGCCCTCTAATTTCTCCTAGTGAGTTGTAGTTTTCATTGCAGAGGTCTTTCACAGAATTTATCAGATTTTCCTTAAGTATAAATTATTCTTAAAGATCCTTTGTATTTTGAAAAAAAAATCAAACTTACAAAAATATTGCCACAATAGTACAGTGAATTAACATATATCAGTCATCCGCATTTACTAATTACTATTAATTTACCACATTTGCTGTATTATTCTTTGTGAGTTATTTGTAGAATCATTTAAAAATAAATTGCAGACATCACAAACATTTCCTCTAAATGTTTATCTTCTAAAAATAAGGTAGTTTTTCTTACCTATCCATGATAAAATGATCAAGTTTAGGATATTCCAATAATCTTCTTACACTGAATCTTACTTTAAGATGTCTGAGAAGCAATTCCCAGTAATATCTGTGTAGTGTTTTCCCCACCCATCATCAGACATTGCATTTAGCTATCATGATTCTTAGTTACCTGTCATTTGGAACATTTATTTTTTCCTGTTCTCCCCCCCCCCTTCTCTCCCTTTCTTTCCCTCTCTCCCATTCTCCCTCTCTTCCTCTTCCTTTGTCCCCTCTATCCCTCTTTCCCCCTTTCCCTTCCTCCTTCCCCTCTCTCATTACTGTTTTAAGGTGTTGGGAATGGAACATAGTAGCTTGGGCATACTAAGCACACATATACTCCTACCCCCTTTTTTTGAACAATGAAAAATTTGAAGTTAAAACACAGAATTTTAGAAGACTTCTAATTATGTTTGTCTGATTCTTTCATTATTTTAGATGCAGAAACAACATATATTTTTGCTTATTGACTTATGTTGCTTATTGACTAGTTGTCACTTGCATTATTGTTGATATACTTTGGTAACATGATTAAGTAATGTCTGTCAGGTTTTTTCTCTACCATAATTTTTTTCCCATTGAAGTAAATAATGTTAGGGGAGTATTTTGGGACAGTTACATACCCCGCTCCTCACCAAGGTTTATCTTAAGCATCCATTAATGAAATTTGACAGATTCACTTGTTACCCTGAGAGATTCAAATATTCTAACTTTGTCATTAATCAGTCAGTTTTCATTCTTCCTTGAGAATAGATTTTCGTCATTAATTCATTATTACGATAAAGCAGTGAATTTTTCAAACTTGAATAAATTGTACCCATAAATTGCTGCTTTTAGTCAACATTAAAATGGGTTTGTCCCAGATTTGCATAGTGACAGCTTCATCAAGCTGACTTCTGTGTTTTTTTGACATTAACCGTTTTCTCTTTCTGTTAAAGTATGTTTGCACTTTTTGGCATGAAAAGATGTTCCATGTTCATTTTGGGCTTTTCATCTTTCTGCCCTTGAGTGGGCCATTTTTCTTCAAAAAACTGGTTGCTTTAGAGGTGAATGAAAAAAAATCATGATCTAGACACTGGGTGTATTCATATCTCTGCATGTAGTACTGTCTTTTTGGCACTAGATTAAGAAATACACAATTTTATATTCCTAAAAATTTGAGTGTATTCTCATACCAAAAATGCAGCAGGCCTTTTTGTTTTTTTAAGTTTTTTTTTTAAGCTGGGAATTAAACCCAGGGCCTTGTACATATCAACATGGGCTCTAGCAAATAAATGTACCTTCAGCCCCATGCCCATGCCTATATCCAACACAGTCCATTTCTTTGTTTTCCCTCATTTTCTGTTAGTATTTCCTTTATTCTGAATTGAAAATGCTGCCTCATTTTGAATTTTTTAAAAAACTCAATTCAAATAGTGTGTGAGCCCATACTAGAGCTTGCACCCAGGGCCTTACCTTTTGCTTACCTTATGCTTGGGGGTAGGAGTGCTTTGCCAGAGGGTTTTCTTTTTTATTTTTGTTTTTTTTTTTTTTTTTTTGGTTGGTCATGGGACTTGAACTCTGGGCCTGGGCATTGTCCCTGAGCTCTTCATTTCAAGGCAGGTAGCCTACCACTTGAGCCACAGTGCCACTTAGGGTTTTCTGGTGATTAATTGGAGCATCAAACTGTTTCCTGCCTTATAAGGTCTTTTTGCATGTGACTTCCATTCCCTCACCCATCACTAGGAGGCCACTTAAATCAGGATCTGGTATGGTTTTTTTTGTTTGATCATTCCCCTCACCTTCTATTCCTCCAAGGTTAGGGGATTACTTCTGTTTCCCTCATTCACAGTAGATCTTTGCCTGGATCTCAGGAACAGTATAAGGAAAAGAATCTTTTTCATTTTTTTTCTTTGGAGTAGTGGTGTTTTTCTTCTTTAAGGTTTGTACCCTTGAGGGTTGCTCTTACTGTTTTTTTGTTCTGCCCCAGAGTTTTGCTCAAGGCTAGCCACAGCTCCAATTCCAGCTTTTTAGTGGTTAGTTGGAGATAAGTGTCTCAAGGAAAATTTCCTGCCTGAGCAGACTTTGAACTGAGATCTTCAGATCTCAGCCTCTTGAGTAGCTAGAATTATAGGCATGAGCCACCAGAACTTGGTGTTATGCCTCTTTTTTTTTTTTAATCTTGGTAGTTTTAGGGATGGGACTGAGATTTTAGCTTTAGCCTCAGGTATTGTAGGCTTTGGATGTTGGAATTTGCTCACCTTGTATACTATACCTTGCACTACCTTCTGTTTACTCACATAAGTTGAGGGGTTATGCTGCAGGGTAACTAGTATGGAATTGAGTTTTTAGGATCTGTTTTAGGATTACTATAGTCTCTTTAACAGCATTTGTCCAGTGGGAAGTCCATCTACATGTATCTTGACCAAGTGCCTGCCTCCAGGTGGCGAAGTTGTGTTTTTCTGCTCAGATAAGGACACCTTACTTTTGTCCTCTGGAATTATGTTTATCAAAGTTTTCCTGTTTGTTACTTTATATTCTCCCTGTGGATTGTCAGGACCACAGAGTAAAGGTCTTGCTTGTTCTTAATCCCTACCCTTCCATAGTCATTTTTGATTCTATTAGCCCATTCTTGAATTACCAAAATCATTTGACTACTTACCAATCAATCTTAACTTGTATGGATTTACATTTACCTTCCTTCTACTATTTACCAAAGTTCTAAAGCGTATTTGAAGATTGTATTTATTTTTGTTTTTGGCAGTACTAGGGTTTGAATTTAAAGCCATTTGCGTTATATCCCCAGCCCTTTATTTGCTTTAGTTATTTTTCAGATAGGGTCCTTGTGTTTTTATAAGAGATTGGCCACAGTCCACGATCCTCCTATCTTTAGCCTCCCATGTAGCTGGGATCACAGGCATTAAATAAATACCATGCCTGGCTTATTGATTGAGATAGGGTCTTGTGAAAGTTTTTCTCAGACCTGCCTCATGCTGCAGTCTTTCCTATATCTAACTCATGAATTTGAGTCCGCGTGCCCAGCCACTGTATTTCTTGAAACTTTGTGCTTTTTTTTTTCATTAAGAAATGTAAATTTAGTGAAAAAAATGAAATAAGAACTCAAGTAGAATATCTCATCAAAATTCTAAGTAGGTTTATTGAATCATATTCTGTGAAATATCAACATATGAAAATTGGAGATTTGTATTCAGGACTGACCATTCATGGTTACAGAGATGGAGCCAGTGTTGACACACTTGTGGTGAGTTTAGGAAAACACTGTGCTTTTCAGTGGGCAGATTATGAAAGGTTTCTCCTTCCTGCTCCAGTCTTGGTGTGTGCTTTCGGCTCTCACTTTTCCAAATGGCTCCATTTCTTTGTGCTCCTTGTACAATGGTGAAACTGACTCAGGATAGTTTACTTAAAATTTTTTTGAAAACAAAAGACTTATAAAACATTAACAAGCAGTAATACGTAAGTGGCCACTGTCAACACATTTTTATATTTATAAAAGTAGGACCTGTTTATGTTACTGTTTCTTGCTTAACTATAACCTGATCTCTCCTGGAAAGTTTATTACTGAGGAATTTCTGTAAAAATACACATGTACATGGAATTCAAAGTTGAACAGGGACATATGTGCCAATGGGAAGTAGTAATTGAAAATATAAAATTAATGAAGTTTGTGTTTGGGTGTTTTGCATGTAACAAATACTGAAATATATTGGTTGAGTGTTAGACATTTTTGCGATAAGTAAAAGTAAATCCTTAAAAAATGCAGTTTTCATGTTACTTGAGGAACATATCTGACCTGTGAATAGGATCACTGAAGTGGAAACATGAAGTTCCCATTTCTGTTCTTAGGTATACTGCAGCATCCGGATGGCACAGTTTTGAAACAGTTACAGCCACCTCCAAGGGGCCCCAGAGAGCTAGACTTTTATAATATGGTAAGTGAGGTAAGATTTGTATTATATACAGAATGTTCTTCAGTTTTCTGATGACTCAAAGTACGAAATACATTTCTATCAGATCTACTTCACTGAATATAGTAGAAACAAAAGCACTAATCTTTTACTGTGTTACTTACTGTATGTGGTGTAGTCTGGGGTTTTCTAGTGCATGTCTTCAAGACTTTGATTCAGGAAATTGATTTTAATCAAGGAGTCATGATGCAATTAAAACAGTCAAGACTTAGGTGAGAGTATTTGTAATTCTCAGAAATGCTAAGTTAGATAAGTGTTTTTCCCACAGAATTTCTTTGTTTTTTGGGGGGGGGGGAGGATTGCTTGCTGTTTTTTTTTTTTTTTTTCTTTTGTACTAGTAACTGGGGCATTGAACCCAGGGTCTGGGTATTGTCCCTTAGCTTTTTTGCTCAGTGCTGTTGCTGTGCTCCTTGAGGCATGCCTCCACTTCACAGGTTTTGTGCTGGTTAATTGGAGAGAAGTGTCTCTTGGACTTTTGAACTGTGATCTTCAGCTAATCTCAGTCTTAGTAGCTAGGATTACAGGTGTGAGCCACCAGTGCCTGGCTTTTGCTTGCTTTTTGAGACAAGATCTCACTGTGTATCCTAGTTTGGTTTGAAATTCTCTATAACCAGACCGGCCTTCAGTTCATAAAGTCATGATCATCCAATACTGGTATTACAGGTGTGGACTATCATGCTAAGTTTAGAGTCTTAAATGTACTGATCTACTTTGTGACTCTCCTAAGGAGAGAGGAAGGAGGTAAACTTAACATCTGATTAACCCAATGGCTAGGAATAGTTTTTAGTTTGTCACCCAAAAGAAAACCTTCTACCCTTGAAGTCATATGCCACATTACTCCCTCTTCCTTACCCTGTCAATCTGCTTCTGTGGACTTTACTTCATAGAAATGAATGCACCCAAAGCGTGACCTTTTGTATCTAGCTTATATTTACTGTAATGTTGTAAAGGTCCTTTATGTTCATCGCACATCATTTTTATGTCTGAGTGATATTCCATTGTTCTTATATGCCACTTGTTCACCTTTTATGGATGTTTGGATTCTTTTCCCTTTTGACTTTTATTCATAGGGGTTCAATGAACATTCGTATACAAGTATTTGAGTACTTGTTCTTTCTTCTTTGGGTATAGAACAGTGAGATTGTTAGGTCATTTGGTAATTCTATGTTTAATATTTTGAGGACCAGTCAAACTGTTTCCTGAAATGGCAGTACTATTTCACGTTCCCAGTAGCATTCTGTGAGTGTAGTAATTTCTCCACATTATCATCAACACTTCTTATTTTATTTTCTTTAAACCCATTTTTAGTTAAGCTGCATTTTGAAATTCTTTCTTACTCTGGGGTACAAATGAAAGTTTATTGAACTTCCTTTGGCCAGAATTTATTTTCATGCCATGACTACAAACAAGAATTACCTCCAATGTACATAATTGTAAAATAGTTCAAGAGCAGTGAAAGGGTATAATTAGATAGCCAAGAAGAATGTGTTCTTAAAATAATATATATTTTTTTCCAGTGGAGACAAAATAATCTTTTTTGTTTACTCCAAAGTTACTTCCAATTGAAACCTCTATCAGCTAAATTATGATTCAGTATGAGTCAGTAATGTGTTTGAGAAATACGTGGGACAGTTATAAAGCATTATAAGAAACTAAGGAATGTTCTATTTCTCTGTTTCAGGTTTATGCTGCTGATTGTAGTGATGGTGTTCTTGTAGAGCTACGAAAATATTTGCCCAAGTATTATGGCGTCTGGTCACCTCCTACTGCACCAAATGGTAGTATTTTCTTAAAAGTACACCTTTTAGTTTTATTCATGAGATTGACTTTTTTTTTGGGGGTCTGGTTGTGGGGCCTGAACTCTGGGCCTGGGCGCTGTCTCTCAGCTCTTCAGCTCAAGGCTAGCGCTCTACCACTTGAGCCACAGCGCCACTTCGGGTTTTTTTCTTTTTGCTTATGTGGTGCTGAGGAATCGAATCCAGGGCCTCATGCATGCAAGGCAAGCGCTCTACCACTGAGCCACCTTCCCAGCCCCCATGAGATTGACTTTTAAAGGCTTTATGTAAAGCCTTTAAAACACAGAATGTAATGCTTTCTAATTTTTCTTTTCAAAACAAAATTTACATGATGTATATAGTCAAGGACTTGATATCACCCTCTTTGGTCTTCAGAGCTAAAACATTTCTGATATTTGGGCTTCATGCTTGCATAGTATGCATGAAGCCTTGGGTTCGATTCCTCAGTACCACATAAACAGAAAATGTCAGAAGTGGCACTGTGACTCAAGAGGTAGAGTGCTAGCCTTGAGCAAAAGCAGCTCAGAGACCGTGCCAAGTCCCTGAATTTAAAAAAAAAAATCTGATAGCAAACATTAGGTATACAAGGGGGAGGGATTTTATTGTGATTTTTTTACACATGCATATAATATATTCCAGTCAGTTCACCCCATCACCCTCTTTCTCCCTTACTCCCTCTAACCTTCCTAGTACAATTTCAAGTGGTTTAATACATGTAATCTGTTTCAAAAATACTCAGCTAGTTTTAAGGTTTATCTTTTTGCTAATAACAGAGCAGTGACTTTAAGGCAATAGCTTTTACCTTGACTACTTACAAGTTTTTTGAACTTCACCAACTCAGTAACCTTACTTTTTAATAGTTACAGATTTTTCTGTCTGTCTGTCTGTCCATCTGTCTGTCTGTGTTTTTCTCTCTTACTGTTGGGTGACAGTATCTTTACCAGGTACCCAGCGATCAGTTTTTGACCCTCTGGCTTCACCCTCCCCAGTGCTGAGATGACCTGAGTGTACTCCCACATCCTGCTTCAGTAATCTTTTGAGTGCTACCTTCTGTATGGTTTTGTAAACACTAATTTTCTTAGCTAACTATAACTAGAGATGTTGGTACTACTATGATCAAAAGACAAGGTGAGGAAAATGAGAGAAGACAGGAGAAAATTTACACAGGAAGAAAACAAAGGACAGGGAATAAAATGCACATGACACAGACAACTCCATTAGCCAGCAGTTGTCTCAAGGGATTTCCTCTTCCTTTCCTACTTTATTTGCTCTGGAAGAAGTTGGACAAAACTGCCCCACATACATATTAATTAAGTTTTGCCAGAGACTTCATGGAAACATTTTAATCCTTTTTATTCTAAGTGCAGTATAAGACAGTAAACTTTTAAACATGTTTATGCCCAGAGATCATAAAAGCAAATGTTTCATTAGATTTTTGTACAGTACTGTGGTTTACATTTCTGTGTTTTACATATTATTAAATTAATGACATTTATTTTCAGGTTCTTGTGTAGTTTATACTTCCTCATTTTTGGTTGGGCATCAGGAGAGTTTTATAAAGCTGATAGAGTTTTTTATAATTTAGATCAACAGAATTTGTTCAACAAATTATCATGTAACAAATAGTGCTTTTGCTTTCAGTTTGTTTTTCAGTTGAAGTCTCTTCAACTTTCTTTAAGGCCGCCTCCACACATGATCCTCCTATATCCACCTCTAAAGTAGCTAATAATACAGACATGTGCAGCCATAATCATTTTATTTTTCAGTATATTATCCTAACTTTGGACTAAGCTTATCTTGCACCTTGATCCCCCTGTATCTTTCTCACTCATATTTTTTGTAACAAGCTTATTGAGTATAATGTATATACCATAAATGTGTCCATTTAAAGCATATGATTCAGTGGTTTTTAGTGTATTTACAGAGTTTTACAATCATTAATCACCATTATTTAACTTTCGTTCATGACCAGTGGGATTTTTTTAATATTAAAATTGGTTGGAAATTATTTTAGGAGATGTCAGGCTAGTTATATATAATAAATCTCATTATACATTTGTATAAGTACATAGATGCTTAGGATACATAGCATCAAAAGCCTTTATTGATCGATAGTTAATTGGGGTAAGAAAAGTATAACATCATGGAGGTCTGAGCAAATTGACAGTTTTCAAGTGTGTATGTACCCTCTGATTAATGAGTAGGCTCCTTGGTTGGCTACTAGTAGTCATATTTCAGCAAGCATGTACTAAAGCAGGCTAGCCCAATATATCTGTTCCTCCATCTCCTTTAGCCCCAAATTTGGGGACACATGGTCTATAATTAAAATTCTTTCTATTTTCAGTTTCTGTTATCAGACAGGGTTGACAATTGTTGTTGAAAAGCAAAGTTCTTGTTTTTCTGTCTGGCTTCATGCTGGGGCAGTGATTTGCCATTGGGATACCTTTTATTTCCTAAACAAAGTTTAAAAATAAAGATGGTAGCTAATGCTAAGTAGATTTTCTAGATTCTGTGGGCAAAAAGCTTACTGAAATGTGGGGCCTAGTATTTCCATAATTTATACAGTCATTAATATTCATTAACTCTCTTAGTGTGTCAAGGTTATACTCTAGCAGTAGAAATTTGCTGTAGGAATTTTTTTACACTTAACATACTAAAGAACAATATATGAATTATATTTAATTCATATTTATATGTAATGTAGAACATTTTTTTTCATTTGCAGTAACTTTGTAATTTTAACAGTCATCAACAAAATGAAAGTATAAATATTTTGGACATCGTTACAGTTTTGTTGGTAAACCTATTGAGATATTTTAATTAATTTTCATGAGTTTTAACCTCAAAAACATTTTTAGTAAAATTTTAGAAATTGTACATATACTTTAAATGGATTAATGGCTTAATTGTTTACGTCACTGTCCATAAGCTCTTGAACTCTTTCTTAGGTTCTCTTAAAATTAACTCATACTTACGAAGAATAGATATCCTTTTACTTACTGTATAAATAGCAGCACTTTATAAATATATCCCTCTAAATGTGAGGTTTACAAATGTCATGCTCTATGCCTCTGAAAGAGACTAGCCTTTTAAGAATCAATTGTCATAGAGATCCCAGAGTTCATAAAGGTTATACTATCTTATCTTTATTCTTTCATTGTTAAATATTATCTTATAAACTCTTACAAAATAATTATATCATTAAATTATCAGATATTTTTCTAAACATCATATTAATTATAATTAACTTACATTGTTGAGCTTGGTACTAGTAAATCCCAGATAGATCATACTTACCTTATTCTTAGCATGTCAAACTTTTTGATTAATTATAAAACATTAATATATCAACAACAAAGCAACCTAGCTGTCAAGTTTATTGCAGTAATCTTTTACTATCTATAATCTTAACTTTTTTTTGGTTATGGGGCTTGAACTCTGGGCCTGGGCATTGTCCCGGAGTTCTTCAGCTCAAGATGAGCGCTTTACCACTTAAGCCACAGCACCTCTTCCTTAACTTTTTTAAATCTATAACTTTTTCTATAGAATTTTGAAAAATAGAAAAGCAAACAGTATTTGAGGAAGAAGTATGAAATAGGCTCAGGATGGAAAAGTGAGTAGTATGATAGTTAAGCAGTTGTAAGGACCTTGCTTGAGGTTAGTGATCAGATTAAATGTGTTTTGCAGTCATGACACATATTTTAACTTGAGATAAGATCAACATATAATAAATAGATATTTTTTGTTAATATTTAACCGCAGGCTAAGGCTTTGTATTAATCTCAGGTTAGAGTCTCCATTATCTTATGCCTAGTTGAGTTATGACTATGTCTTTTTATTTTGTGGTAATTAAGTTATATTTGTCTTATCTGGAAAGAGGTATAATCCAATGAATCATTTTATATTTATACTAAACATCAAAGTTCAGTGTAAATCCATTAGTGACATAACATGGTTAGCAGATTTATTGTGTGCATTTTTATATTTATATATATTTACAAATAAAATGAGTAAATCTTCAATGAATACAGTATACATTATGCTACTAAAATATTTATGTATGTTTTTACTTCTATATCTCAAAACAGGTCTTGTACTTCAGTTAATATATTGGGTGTATGCAATTTTATTTTGGATGAAGTAGGAAAACATTGTACTTCTATTTGTAGAATAGGTACTGACACTTTGCAGTACAGTATTTCATTTATTCTTCATGATACCTGATAGTGGATTCTATTGTATCTCAAATAAATAAATATATATATATATATATATATATATATATATATATATATAGTTGAGATATAGAGAATTGCTATCTAGGCTACATACTAATAAATGGTAAATTTGAGCTCTGAATTTACTATCTCTGCTCCTAAAGCGGTTGTTTGTTCTTTGTGGATAAGTTGTAGAAATAGATGTGGACTTGATAAATGAGAGACTTTATGATAAAGCTACAGAGAAAGACTAAGCTTCTGAGCTCAAGATAACCCCAGAAGCAAAAACCAAATCTTATCAGTACCCAGGAATTGGATCTCTCTCTCTCTCTCTCTCTGCTTATTTTCTGTGAGTGTGTGTGTGTGTGTGTGTGTGTGTGTGCGCGTGTGCGCGTGTGCGCGCGCGCGCACGCATCAGTAATAGACTTGAACTCAGGACCTTGCACTGTTTACACAGCTTTTGCTGTTTATGGCTAGACACACCTCTAGTTCAGTATTTTGTTAGGTAATTGGAGATAGAGTTTTGTAGACTTCTCTGTCCTAGCTGACTTCAAACTTCGATCCTTAGATCTCAGATTCCTGAATTACTAGGATTACAGGTTTAGCCCCTGGTTCAGGGCAGTATCCTCATCCCACTACCCCCCTTTTTGGCAGCACTAGAGTTTTAACTCAGGCCCTGATGCTTACTAGGTTGGCACTCTAGCACTTGAGCTACACTCTAGTCTTTCATATTTTCTTCCTCTCTGGTTTCCTGAGCTATCTCCATCAAAGGAATCACTTAATTTACATCAAGTAATTTACATGTTGTGGCATATGTTATTGACCTAGACATGCCTGGTTGGTGATCAGAATGTCATTTCTGCATCTCAGTTCCAAACTGGTAGGACTAAACAAGGTTGTACCAGATGACCATTCCTGCTTCAGTGACTTTTGACCAAAGGGCAAGATTCTGAAGTATGACAGTTCTAAAGGGCTTGTCTTTGAGGATCTATGGATGATAGCTTTGAGTTGGATAAGCATAATGCACATTGACATTTGGTTTAGTCAAACATTCTTCTTCTTCTTTTTTTTTTTTTGGTCAGTCGTGGGGCCTGAACTCTGGGTCTGCGGCACTGTCCCTCAGCTCAACCACTTGAGCCACAATGCTACTTCCAGCTTTTTTTTTTTTTTTTCTGTTTATGTGGTGCTGAGGAATCGAACACAGGGCCTCATGCATGCAAGGCAAGCACTCTACCACTAAGCCACCTTCCCAACCCCAAGTCAAATATTCTTTTAAACTTTGTGGCTATGATATAAATACATTTTATATCAAAACTCAGTGTTTATAAGATTATGGCCAATCCACAGTAATAGGTCTTAGTGTATATGAGAATTCTCATGTTTACCCTTTTCTGTCATTTAAGGAACTTTGGTTACTACCCTTTAAGTTGAATTTCTAATCCAATAATAGTCTATAACCTATATATTGAAAAACATTGCTCCAGTCTGTATTTGCAAAGGGGCCTGGTTGATGTATTCTTTGTTACCCAGTCTGTGGTTTTGCCTAACAGGCTGTTCTTTAGCCTTTGAACATTTAAATAACTGAATTGCAGGACTGACTTACTTTGATTTAGCTCTATTCCATGGAAAGAATTTTCTAGTAACGTTTTTCAGAGAGAAATAATATTCAGTTTTTTGTACATATGGCAGAAACTCTAAATCAGTATCATGTAAATCAATAATCGATTGTAACTCAATAATATGATCTCAATGCTGAGATCATGCTACCTTATTTCTGTTTTTCAGAAACACTTGTAAGCTGCTAGATATAATAACATTGATTCCTTAAGTGAACTTTACTACAACAGATTTTTCAGTTTATTTTTTAAATCTTGGGAAGATAGAAATGAGAATCTCAAATTTCCGTTTGTTTTTGTTGTAAAAATAGTGTACAGAGCGATTACAGTTACATGAGTAAGGTACATTTCCTATTGAGCATTGTTACCTTCTCCTTTGTTTTTCTCCTACCATCCCTTCTCTTCCCTTCTCACCTCCCCAACTCCCCCCAACCCCCCAAGTTGTAAAATTCGTTTTCTACATAGTGTCTTGTACATCTCATTGTTACAATGGGTCAGCCTGTATCCTTGTTTCAGCATTTTGTTATTTCCCTTGAGAATCTCAAATTTTTATGGTTACTTAAAACGAGGCCAAAGAACTAAAAGAAACCACTCAATCCCAGTAGACCTTAAGTTAGAGTTTTATTTCTGAAGGCTAATAGTAAATAGTCTAGCAGTTACTTAATAATTAAATTGAAGGAAAGCACATTTAACTAGTTGAAATAAATGTAGAGTAAAAACCTATCCCTATTTACTAAAGAAATTACTGTTCAGTATAGGAAAGCCAAGTCCAAAGTTCTACTGGGCAGTAGGAATGGGAAAGGCAAACACTCATTATTCAGCAAACATTTATTATACTCTTATTGCGCTTGTATCTTCCTCCTTTATAAAAAGAAAAGAAGAAATATTGTTTTTATATTCAGACATACAAAATCTACTTCCAAACTTTATAACAGGTTATTGTTTATTTTAATCTCTACCAAATGAACACATAGTTGTGCATTTGAGGCAGGATTTCCCTACAACCTCTACAATGTCATACACAGCTTTTACAAACTCAGTAAGAATTTGCATTTTTTGGGGGGGAGGGTACGGTCTTGGGGCCTGAACTCTGGGCCTGGGCGCTGTCCCTCAGCTCTTCAGCTCAAGGCTAGTGAGCCACAGCACTACTTCTGGCTTTTTTCTTTTTGCTTATATGGTGCTGAGGAATTGAACCCAGGGCCTCAGGCATGCAAGGCAAGTGCTCTACCACTGAGCCACCTTCCCAGCCCCAAGAATTTGCAAATTTTTGACTCCAAATTATATGCTAACCTTTTCAGCGCCAAGAATCTACTTTGTTAGTCTTTAGACTTTTCTGACATTTGGATTTATGTCTTGTTGCTAACATTCTTGTGCAGCTGGAGCTGTAGAAAGCTGTTAGGGATGGTAGGAGAGGATCTGAAGGAATTGTCATGTGCTCCTTTCCCAGTTTCGCCCCCATGGTGGTAATCTTTTAGAATACACAAGCGTGGGTGGGCTCCAGCTTCTTGGTCAGGATGTTTCCACTTGTCTATTGCCTTTCACTACAGTGTTGTGCCTGTATCCAGATCTTTTGTTTTCTCTTAAGCTGTTGAAGATAGCTGTTCAGGAACTTTTCTCTCAATTGTAGGCTCCTTCTGTATTGGTGCAGCTCTCCGGCTGCAGTTTCTTCTTCATATCTATATAGTCACAACCTTCCTTCCACTATCCTTTCAGGGACAGAATTTGATCTCTATCTCTTACCCTTTAGAGGAGATGTATGCTTAGTCAATCTGAGTGGTGTAAAAATGTTTAAGCTCTGAGTTGTCCTCATTGGTTCAACACAAACTTCTTTATTGTAATTGGATAATATCCTAGTCTTAGTGGAACAGGAACAAAGAAAAGGGACAAGGCTTCTTTTATTCTTGGTACCCTTTAGAGGTAATGTACATTTTTTTCTAGCCTTACTTGAATTGCTAATAGTTAACAAGATAAAATCTTTTCTCTTTGAGGAGAAAATATTTATTTTAGGAGAAATGTTTATTACTGTATTCATTACTAAAACCTGAATCATATTTTTCAGAATTTAGAGATTATTTTACCTTGGAAAGGGGAGGAAAATATCTTTCCCTCTTCCCACATTGGTCCTCCATCCTTGCTTTCAGTAAATAGATTTTTATAATATTATAATTGAATTTACATTTATGTTGCATGCAAACAAACTTTTGGATGTCAGTGTTCTCCAATCAAGATCTTAGCCATAAAAGAAACGTAAATCAAGACAACATTGAGATTCCACCTCACCCCAGTTAGAATGGCTATAATCAAGAAATCTAATAACAACAGATGCTGGAGGGGATGTGGCCAAAAGGAAACCCTACTGCATTGTTGGTGGGAGTGTAAACTTGTTCAGCCACTTTGGAAAGCAGTATGGAGGATCCTCAAAAGACTCCACATAGTGCTTCCTTATGAACCAGCAATCCCACTTTTGGGCATTTACCCAAATGATCACAAACAAGACCACACTAAAGATACCAGCACAACTATGTTTATCACAGCATTATTCACTATAGCTAAGATATGGAACTAACCCAGATGCCCCTCAGTAGATGAATGGATTAAGAAAATGTGGTGTATGCATATACAATGGAATTCTGTGCCTCCATCACAAAGAATGACATTGCCCAATTTGTTAGGAAATGGAAAGACTCAGAAAAAAGTATATTACATGAACTAAGTCAGGCAAAGAAACATAAGTCCCATGGTTTTCCTTGTTTGCAATGACTAGTACATGTCTAGGACAAGCAGAGAAGGTCAAAGGCTATGTACATATGACTATATAAGATGATGTTAAGTGAAATGTTCCCCAAGACAAGAGACACAAGTGGATTTTCTTTCTTGTTATTGTTTTTAATGTACTTATAATGAACTATGTGATTCTTTTGTTTCTTTTGTATGTTCTTCCCCCATGGTATAACCCCTGTTTTGATTTTGGTGTTCTACATATTGTATATACATTTTTTGTAATTTTGAGGAGAGGAAGGGATATATCGGAATGCTTAAATGGGGATTCAGGTTGATCCATTGTGATGTTGAGATGTACAGGACACTGTTGAAAACGAACTTTACCTTGTCAGGGGGGCGGGGAGGGAGGAGTTGGGGAGGTGGGGAGCAAAGGGATGGAAGGGGAAAAAACAAAGGAGGAGGTAACAATGCTCCATAGGAAATGTATTCATTACCCTCCTTATGTAACTGTAACCCCTCTGTACAGTATTTTTACAATAAAAATATAGATATATATATAAAATACAAAGTAAGATCTTTGATTTTCCTTAGAAACTGGTAAAACTAGGATCCCCTTACTTTTGTTGTAGGAAGAATTTAGAGTTACTAGTTTTAAGTGAAGAATAAATGAATAAAACATTTTTAAAGTACTAAAAGATACTGTGCTAAGGCATAGATGGCATAATTTATATTTAAAAGGTGAATGAATATATTCTGAAACAACCTTGAAATAATGTCATCTACTTTTTGCATTACTCGGAGTATGAACTCAGGGCCCCATGTTTACTTAACTGATGCTCTGCTAAACTGATGCTGTACTACTTTAGCCTTGCTTTCAGCCTGCGTTTTGTTGGTTAGTTTGGAGATAATCTAGTGAGATTTTCTGCTTGGGCTGTCCTCAAACCAAGATACTCCATACCAACCTCTGAGTAGTTAGGATTATAGATGTGAGCCATCAGTACCTGGTTCCATTGCCTTTTGCTTTTTAATTGTTATTTTTCAAGAGTTGTACAGAGGTGTTACAGTTTCATAAGTCAGGTTATAAGTACAATGCTTCTTAGACATTTTCACACCTTCCTTAGCTTTCCCCCATTTCCCCCTCCCATTCTTACACACAGGTTACATAGTTCGTTTGTTAACACAGTATATATTGAAAACGACTGCATTTGCTCATCCTTCTTTTCTCCATTCCTGTTGTCCCCCCATACCATTTGTTAATGTTACACATTTGTTGGTCAGTCCTTTTTAATAATAATAATAATAATTGCTGACTAGGTTTTTAAATTTTTCTTTTCTAGGATTTCCTCCTTTTGTTTGCCTTTGTGATATTTGAGTAGTAATATGTCTGCCTGTCATTAATTAGTGTTTTTCTTTACTTACAGACTTATACCTAAAACTGGAAGATGTGACCCATAAATTTACTAAGCCCTGTATAATGGATGTAAAGATAGGGCGAAAAAGCTATGATCCTTTTGCCTCGTCTGAGAAGATTCAGCAGCAGGTTAGCAAGTACCCATTAATGGAAGAGATTGGGTTCTTGGTGCTTGGCATGAGGGTAAGAGTGATTCAGTATAATACACACATTTTTCTTTATATTTTTTTCTTTGAAGATTACTGCTATCATTATAATGCTAATATATCAGAAGGGAATATGTTTTCATAAATCCTGAATACATAAACTTTGTGAGGGCAGGAACTTTTCTTTTGTTCACTGGTAAATGGTTAGTCTCTGTTCCTAGCACATAGTAAGTGATGAATAAATAAATGACTGAACCCCAAGATAGTAACTGGACAGTTATTTTAAATAATTTTAAGCTAAGGTTCAAATAAATATTAGAAAAAACATTATTTTTGCATTTTTATTAGAAAAGTATTGTTTTTCTGTATTCTTTAAAGACAAATTTTAGTCACTTCTTTTTCTAAGTTTAGTAGTATTTACTCGATTTAAACTTTTTTAATTTAAAAAGTTGTTCTATTTGCTTAATTATTTGGCTTTGACATTTATAAGTGTGTTTTTAACAAACACCTAAGTTTACATACATGGGACAAATACATTTTATATACATGGGGTATGTAAATAGATTGTATATATGTGTTATGTAATGTTCTTACCCAGTAATAATGTCTTAAAGCATGTACTGTTTATGGTGAGAATTTCCAAAATCCTATCTTTAGCTTTTTTGAAATACACAGAAGTTACCTTTCCCAATCACTGATTCCTGATTCAAGGGAATGATAATTATATTTTCCTTCTGTTGATCATACTGTCCCAAGTCTTTTTTTTGTATTCTCTTCCTTTGTGATAGTATGACAGTAACACTTAAGATTTATCCATAAGGAAGAGTTGGAGCTTGCTTTTGCTCATTCTGTTCTCCTTAGCATATCTCCCAACCATTAAAAAATAATAATTACAGCCTTTATTTTAACTATACATATATGTATTTGTGTGTTTTCAGGCTGGGAGTATATGTGTTTTATAAATATCTTTGTTACTAGACAAGAACAATAGTAGGTAGAAGTTGGAGAAACTCAAGAGTTTTTTCCATTTTAGTGTTAGTAAAGTAGAAATAAACAGGGGCAAAGAGAATTTAATAACAGTGTTGCACTAGAAAGATTTAACCTTTTTGGTGCATATGTGGGGTTGAAGTTCCTATGGATCAGATTTAATTTGACTCTGATCATAAGACTCCTGAATAACAGAAGGGTGAGTTTTTTAGAATCATGTTTTTATTTGGGTTAATCATGTTTTGCAGTGCTGGGCATGAAACCTAGGGCCTTGCTCACATTCAACATGTTTTTTTTAATCACTGAGCAAACCTCCCAGCCATAGAATTCTCTTTAAACATATTCAGGTAAAATAGAGAATATCCATTTCTTAAAAGTGTTCTTATAGCTCAGTGTAATGTTTCTGTTGAGAGAAAGAGGGGCTTCTTAATGAGCCTTCTAGGCCTGCCTAGTGTTGCATCACAGGATGTGTTACTATGCCCAGCCGAGAAACTGTCCTTCTTAAATAGGTTTTATGTTTATGTAAAAGAAAATGATTTTATTCAACTCTTTCTGTGTAAAGAGTTTAAGAGACTCTTTTGATTGCTTTTAGTCTTTTACTAGTATGAGTCATGTTGAAGTGAGTAACTATAGACCTATTTTATTCTACCAGTGTGCTAGCACATCCTTGGGATAAATCTTTAAGGGAGGTGTGTCCACATTTATAACTTCAGTAAATATTGGCAGTTTGCCTTATATAGGGCAATGGTTTTCAAGCAGGGGCAATTTTTTCCCCCCATGGAGACATTTTTTCCCCATGGAGACATTATCAGTGTCTAGAGACATTTTTGTTTGGTAATTTAAGTGCAAGAGACGTGACATGCTCCTAGTAAGTTTGAGGCTTGTTTGATTTCTGTGAAATCTTCTGCTCCTTTGTCCTTTTTACATTGAATATAAGGATACACTGAGTATCTTATATAAATTTTACTTACCTTTTCTCCATTCTTTTTTTTTTTTTTGGTCCATCATGGGACCTGAACTCAGCCTGGGCACTGTCCTCAGCTTTTCAGCTCAAGGCTAGTGCTCTTGAGCCATAGCGCCACTTCTGGCTTTTTCTGCTTATGTGGTGCTGAGGAATAGAATGCAGGACCTCATGCATGCAAGGCAAGCACTCTACTACTAAGCCACCTTCCCTTTTCTCTATTCTTAAAGCATCCTGAATGGGGTGGAAATGTGAGTTTTGGTTAGAAATACTTTCTTTTATTATTAGATATTCAACAATTCTTTTACATTTTCAGGGGGGGGGGGGCTTTTATTTCATTTTGTGCATTTTGAATTTATTCTGACATGAGAAGTAAGGTATAAAGTTATCTCTCCCCAAATAACTAATCAGACTAACAGTCATTTTTTTCTACTGACTTAACCTATGACATACTAAATTGGCTTACATATTTGATTCAAATGTATTTTAATACATGGTAGGATGATAGTTATTCTTACTTTTATTTTGAATTTATCTGGCTCTTCCTATTGTTTTGTGTGAACTTTTTCATTTTTCATCTATTTTAAAGACAAATTACCCAGGCTGATCTCAAACTTCTAGGCTCAGCCCATCCTCTTGCCTTAGCCTCCTGAATAGTTGATAGTACAGAAATGAGCTACCATACCTGGCTGTGCAGAAACTTTAGAATTAGTTTATTTGATTTTTTAAAATGTTGGTGGCTTTTTATTATCTCATTTTAGTTGTAGATTAACTTTAGGATTAGTATCTTTTTATGATGTTGAATCTTCTTAGTGAACATGGGTGTATATCTTAGGAATGTTTTAAAGTGCTCTTTATACACATCTTGTGTTTATTTACTTTTATTTGTATCTCTTATTCTTTTTGCTGCATTTGTAAATGAGGTCTTCTACTTATTCAAACTTGTTATTTGAAATATTGTTTTGTTTACTAATTTTATTCAACCAGTATTTGTTTTTTTATCTTTTGTATTCATTTTTAAGTTGATTTTCCAGGGTACAACTACTACCTAAAAGAATAATAACTTATCTTCTAAATGATTATCTGTGTTACTAGATTATGAACTCAGGGTCTCCTACTTGCTAGGCAGATGCTGTCTACTAGAGTCATGTTCCAAGCTCTTGACACTTCAGTTGTTTTTCAGAGGGTGTTTCTCATTTTTTGCCTACTGTGGATTTGGACCAGGATCATCCTCATCTCTACCTTTTGAGTAGTTAGGATTACAGGTTTGAGCCACAATGCCCAGCTTGTTGGTTAAGAATGAGGTCTTGCTAGCTGGGCACCGGTGGCTCAGGCCTGTAATCCTAGCTGATCAGGAGGCTGAGATCTGAGGATCACAGTTCAAAGCCAGCCCAGGCAAGGAAAGTCCATGAGACTCTTATCTTCAATAAACCACCAGAAAACCAGAAGTAGCGCTGTGGCTCAAGTGGTAGAGTGCTTGCCTTGAGCTGAAATGCCCAGGCTCAGAGTAAACCCCACAGCCAGCAACAGAAAAAATGAGTTTTTGCTAACTTTTTGTCTGGGTTGGGTTTCAACTACAGTCTTACGGAATTTGGCCTCCTGAATAGCTAGGATTACAGTGTAAAACCACCATGCCTGGCCCTCTATTTGTTTTGTTATTTGTTTGTATTTGCTAGTAACTTCAAAATAGTATTACATAATAATATAAAATTATATTTTATTATATGCTTATTATATATAGGTATATATAATAATTATAAAAGATGTGATAGAATCTACTTTTTTATGGAAGCTTTTTTATTTTAAAAGAAAAACACTTCTTTACCTTCTACCTTAAACTGGAGACTAACTTTTCCAATATGATAATTTTATCATATTGGAAATAATCATCTTTCCTTATAAGGACTTTTTGTCAGTAGTAGATGTTAAATTAGTTAAGTGCATGTATTGATATGACTATGATGTTTTAAAGTTTATTATGATGAGTTATATAAATAGATGCCATATTAAACACTCTGCCAGGTTAAAAAAAAATGTAATCAGAGAGTATTAGTCCTTTATTAGGCACTGCTTTTTTTTTGACAGGTTTATCATGTTCACTCTGATAGCTATGAGACACAAAACCAGCACTATGGAAGAAGCTTAACAAAAGAAACTATAAAGGATGGTAAGTACTACAAAACTAATGCTGATGGCTGATGGTACTTCAGTTTTAATTCATCTCCAAAATATTAATTTAATTTGTGGTAAACATTTTTAAAAATCAGTACTGGGGTTTGGATTCAGAGCATTGTGCTTGTTAGTCAAGCACTCTACTATCTCTAGTCCTTTTTATTTTTTTTTTTATTTTTTATTTTTTTTGGGTCCGGTCGTGGGGCCTGAACTCTGGGCCTGGGCACTGTCCTTCAGCTCTTCAGCTCAAGGCTAGCGCTCTACCACTTGAGCCACAGCGCCACTTCCGGCTTTTTTGTTTTTGCTTATGTGGTGCTGAGGAATCGAACCCAGGGCCTTGAGCATGCAAGGCAAGCGCTCTACCACCGAGCCACCTTCCCAGCCCCTCTAGTCCTTTTTAATCTAGTTACTTTTACATAATGCCTCATGCTTTTTCCAAGGGCTGGCCTGTACTTCAAGGCTCTTATTTACATATTTATGTCCTCTTTGTAACAAGTGATGGGTACACACCACCACAAACAGCTTTATTTTTTGAAATGAGATCTCCCTGAGGTTTTATACATATATATATATATATATATATATATATATATATAAAATTGTAAAGATAGTGTACCAAGGGGTTACAGGTACATGAGCAAGGTAATGAGTGCATTTCCTATAGAGCATTGTTACACCCTCTTTTATACTTCCCTTACCATCCCTTTCCTCCCCACCTCTCCAGCTCCTCCCTCTCCCCCCCCCCCTTGCAAAGTTGTAAAGTTCATTTTCAACCCTCTTGTACATCTCATTGTTACAATGGGTCATCCTATATCCTTATTTCAGCATTTTGTTATTTCCCTTCTCCCCAAATTAGAAAAATGTATATACAAGATTCAGAGCACCAGAATCAAATATAGTGACAACAGGGGTTATACCATGGTCTCCATGAGGTTTTGCCTACTCTGGCCTCAAACCAAAATCCTTCTGATCTCTCTCTCCTAAACGGGGATTATAAGGATCAGCCATGGTACCTGACCTATGTATAACATTTTCTTGAAAAATAAAATTTATATTCCCAAAATTAGATCATAATCCTCAGTTTCCAGTATACCCTATACACACACACACCTCCCAGCTTTCCAGTGCTCTGTACCCTATACACACACACACCTCCCAGCTTTCCAGTGCTCTGTAACACACACACACACACACACACACACACACACACAGCTTTCCAGTGCTCTGACCAAAAACCCTAACATAACCAATTTAAACATAGGAAATGGGCTGGGAATGTGGCTTAGTGGTAGAGTGCTTGCCTACCATGCATGAAGTACTGGGTTCCATTCCTCAGTACCACATAAACAGAAAAGCCGGAAGTGGTACTGTGGCTCAAGTGGTAGTGAGCTAGCTTTGAGCACAGAGAGGCTCAAGGATAAAGCCCAGATGCTGAGTTCAAATAAATAAATAAAGGAAATGTTTGATTCGTGGCTTCATCTTGTGCTCAGGTAGCCTAATTACAGGTGGTGCCACAGTACATCATGATAGACATACACTGTAGACAAAAGCAGCTCTCCTTAGCACGGCCAAGAAGCAGAGTGAGAAGAGCGAGAAGGTCCCCAAATTTTTTCCAAGGACACATCCCATTGACCTAACTTCCTTCCTCTAGGCCAACTTCCAAAAAGTTGTATCACCTCTTAATAACACTAAACCTTCAACATACAGACTTTGGAGGAAGAACATCTTGGATAAAATATTTGGTTGTATGCTTTAATATTAAGCTGAGTACTGGTGGCTGATGGCTATAACCCTAGCGACTCAGGAGGCTGAGATCTGAGGACTTAAGTTCTAAGACAGCCTGGGCAGAAAAGTCTGTGATCTCAATAGACTACTCAGGAAAAGCTGGAAATGGCTCTGTGGCTCAAGTGTACAGCACTAGCCTTGAACAAAAGAAGCTCAACCCTGAGTTCAAGCCCAAGAACCAACACACACACACACAAATATAAAACATATATATGTCATATATATATATATGAAACTTACTGACTGTCTAGCTTAATTCTGAAATTAAAGATTGTCATTACAGTTTTTTTCTGGGGGGGGGTTCTGGGGTTTGAACTCAGAGCATTGTACTTGCTAAGCAGTCTACTATACATCTCCAGACCTTTTTTTATTTTTAATTTACTTTTCAACCAAGGCCTCACTTTTTTGGGGGGGGCCCGTTTAAGACTACAATCCTCCTCCTACTTTTTCCTTTGCCTTGAAATTTGATTATGTCCCATCTTGATCTTCTGACTAGCTACAGTCATATTTTGAGTGTAGATTGTAAATACTAATATATTAAATTATTTATTACATAAGAGACTTAAAATGTATATTGTTTCATGAAATGTACTTTTGAGAAGTTTCCAAAGCTTCTAGTGCTACCTAATGAATAATCAAGCAAAATTAGATTGATATAAAGAAAGTTTGCTAACATACATACATGCTTCTAAAATACTAATGGTCAAGATATTGCAAAAGTAAGTTCTCTTAAATTTGTGGAAATAATATTGGAAGCTTATTTGTGGCTCTACTAAGAGAAATATTTATGTGTATTGTCATTTGTAGAATTTTTATATTATGTATAGAAAATAAACACCCACAATGTTAAAGTGTTTATTTTGATATATATAACCAACAGCAAGATGATGTTCAGATTGTGTATTTAAAACTACTTTTCTATTATACTAGGGTTTGAACTCAGGGTTTAGTGCTCACTTGCCTTGCTTGCTTGGCTGCCTTGGTTGCTCAGCTGTCACTCTACCACTTGAACTATGCCTCCAGTCTGGCTATTTTGCTGAATGTTTTGGAGATGGATTCTCTCTAACTTTTTTTTACCCAAACTGGTTTTAAACTGCTGAGTTGGTAGGATTACATACATGAGCCACTAGCACCCAGCTAAATATTTCTTACCAATTTTTGTCCTAAAGTTCAGGAACAAGTTATTTAAAAGCAGAAGTCAAGTTGTGTATACTCATAATTTCCAATCTATAGTAACACTTTAAGGCATAGTTTTAAAAGAGGCCCAATAATCGTATAGGTTAGTACATTTAAAAGTTTCCATTTTAAGCCAAGTTCTGGTAGTTTACACTTGTAATCCTCTCAACTTGGGAGTCCTGGGCAAAATCCAAGGTTTAAGGCCAGCTTATGCAGAAAAATTTGCAAGATCCTTTTTTTTGGGGGGGAGGGCGGGGGGTCTGGGCTTGGGCTCTATCCCTGTGCTCTTCAGCTCAAGGCGAGCGCTCTACCACATAGCACCACAGCACCACTTCTGGTTTTCTAGTGATTAACTGGAGATAAGAGTCTCATGGACTTTTCTGCCCAGGCTACCTTTGAGCCATGATCCTCAGATCTCAGCCTCCTCAGTATTGAGGATTACAGGTGTGAGCCACCGGCGCCCAGCAACAAGATCCTTTCTTTAACCCATAGTTGGGCACAATGGTTTTGTCACTTTAGCAGTGACAGAGTTGGGGAAACCTGGCTCAGCTGTACACTTTGGTAGGAAATTGAGACCCAGTCTCAGTTTGTAAAAGGATAGAGGCAGCTTAGGTATTAGAGCACCAGCCTAGCAAGGAGGCGGAGGTGGCTTTGAGTTCAAATACCAGTACAACCAAAAAAGTCTCAGGTATCAAATAGAGACAATTTTGAAATCATTTTTCTTGAACATAGTGTTAAACTACTTGTTTGTAAAAAATTTCTTTTTTTAATACATTTTTGTTGTAAAGATACTGTACAGAGGGGTTACAGTTACATGAGTAAGGTAATGCGTACATTTCCTATCGAGCATTGTTACCCCCTCCCTTGTTTTTATCTTTTGTGTCTTTTATATGAATAAAACTTTACTTTGTTAGTGTCATTTAAATAGTCTGTAATGAATTTTAACTAAGAATTAAGTTGTGATCTAAATGTCTCCAAATAGAATTCTAGAAATAGCTATTCAGTTATTTTAAGAGATGATGAGGAAATTATTGGAGAATTTTATATATTGTGAGTTCACTTTCCCCCTAGCAGCTGTTTTATAATGTGATTCTAATCCTAATATATTTCATATCATAGGTGTCTCCAAGTTTTTTCATAATGGATTCTGCTTAAGAAAAGATGCTGTTGCTGCCAGTATTCAGAAGATTGAGAAGATTCTGCAGTGGTTTGAAAACCAGAAGCAGCTTAACTTCTATGCTAGCTCATTATTGTTTGTATATGAAGGTTCATCTCAGCCACCTACTACAACAAAAACAAATGACAGAACTTTGGCAGAAAAGATATTATCCAAAGGACAACTGTCAGACACAGATGTACTGGAGTACAATAATAACTTTCATGTGTTAAATTCCACAGCAAATGGAAAAATAGAGTCTTCAGTAGGCAAAAGCTTATCCAAGATCTATGCTCGGCACAGAAAAATGTATTCAAAAAAACATCACAGTCAGACTTCATTGAAAGTTGAAAATAGGGAGCAGGACAATGGGTGGAAAAGCATGTCGCAGGAACATTTAAACGGAAATGTACTTTCCCAGCTGGAGAAAGTTTTCTATCACCTTCCCACTGGTTGCCAAGAGATTGCAGAAGTAGAAGTGCGAATGATAGATTTTGCTCATGTGTTCCCTAGCAACACAATAGATGAGGGATATGTTTATGGTCTAAAACATTTAATTACTGTACTTCGAAGTATTTTAGACAATTGAATCTTTTGCCTTGGTCTTTTAAGGATGGGCCAATCATAATGAAGAGCAGCAGTTATTATCTCTGCACCTGTGATGCTATGTAAAAAATTGTATTGTGAGTCGACATTTTATTTGTCTTTATACTTTTGGTAGAAAGGTTAACTTTTTTATAATCTTACTCAGGAATACTAACTGTAAGTTCATTAGAAAACTATGAAGAATAAAGAAACAGGAATATTAAATAGGGAATGTGGTGGTACATGGCTTAAACAACATCTGTTTGGCTCAAGCAAAATGGAAATCATTGTTCAGTCATTACAAGTTTATTTAGCTTTTTGTAGCCAATTTTATCATGAAATCTGTCCACCCAGCCTTGACAGTGAGCCATATCTAAACTATTTCATCATCAGAACACCTTCAAATATCTACAAAGCACAGGCTAACATCCTCAGTATTGGCTGTTTAATGCTACAAAGACTGGAAAAAATTCTACTTCAGAAATAGGATTTTATATTAAAAGTTCAGACCAGCATATCAAAAGGTGCTTCTTAGTGAGATGACTTAGAATTATTGCATTCCAAAAGCAAGTTTTCCTTTTATTTTCAGTTTCTGTACATATTCCAGAACACAAAAAAACTTACTGAAATGGACAGCAACAACAGCAACAACAAAAATCCTGAAAGTCAGGGCACTGGTTATTTTTATTAGGGTCAGGAGAAGAAAGAAATTATTTGCAAGCAACAATGTATTTTTCTTGTAAGCTCATTTAGTAGCAAAATTGGAATCTATTACATTGTGAAAAGTACTATAAACTGAGATGTCAACTGTGGATGGTTGAGGCTTTTTATCATTTAAATACTTTTTAAATTTGTCCTTTCAAAATGCATGTATTTCTATGTTCCCTATTCAGTTAAGCAATAATATAAATGTATGTTGTTAAAAATAGTGTTTCTGGAAGTGGCGCTGTGGCTCAAGTGGTAGAGCACTTTCCTTGAACTGAAGAGCTTGGGAACAGCATCCAGGCCCAGAGTTCAAGCCCCACTACCAACAAAACAAAAAGTGTTTCTTTGAACTCAATTAAGCAACAGAGGCAACATACAGTTAGGTAAATTGTCAGAAGTACCATGTAGCAATTAATGCATAATGTAGGCTTTGGTGCATACCTAAATCTATGCTTCCGTTTCACTCTTCAGTAAAAGTTTTATATTGTAGTCTGCACAAGAATTATAATTTATTGCTGGCTGGGCAAAGGGTGATGCTATTTTTCTTGGGAAAATTTGATTTATAAATATTACCTTTGTTTCACACCCACTACCCTTTTCAAATTATCTAATTGTCAATGAAAACATTAAAATTTGAAATTAAGATAGTTACACATTGTTACTTTTTTCTTTCTCCTTTAATTAAAGTTTTGAATCCAAGTGCCATTTTTTGTGATGTTGAAGAAATTTAAATTTGTCTTACCTTCCCAGCCCTTTCTGAAGGCAGTTTGCAAATACCTGAATACAAAGAAAACACCAAGTAAATGCTCTGTGAGTTCTATGTTTAGTAAAACTGTTAAACTGGAATGACACTAAAAATTCATGTGTATTTTATTAATATTTTATTTGGAATCACTATGAAGTGTTTTCCATAGAGGCTTTGTGTTTTCTTTACTGCCCAAGTAGGTATTAACTATAGATATTTTGTTTCTGCTTTATGGAAATGAATAGAAAATTTTAGTTTTCCTTTTTCTTACACTATGGACTTTTGTTGTTGTTGTTGTCATTATTGGCTAGTGGTTCAGAAAGTCTGAACTTCATGCAATTAATACTGTGTGGAATCTTGAAGCTGTTTTCATAGGGTAATATCATCCTATGTACCACAAATTTAATAACATTTCATCAGATTCTTTGGAAATTTTAATTCAGTAAATCAGTTCCCAATCTTCGTCATCTAGTCTCTGGAAATACAGTTGTGTAAAATCACTGTCTTATCTTTTTGATAGATCATGTTTTGTTATAATAAAAAAAACTACTTTTATGTTTTTCAGGGAAGGGATTAACCTTTAATTCTTTTTGTTTACATTTTTTATCACTGCTTTCCATTGCCCATTTTATGTTACTTTATAAGTAAACTTGTAATGGAGTAATTGTTTATGTAGTCTTCATGTGACTGTTTTACTGTGCAGTCCTGTTTGACGATTATGTTAAATTTACCACTGTGAGGATGAGTAATCACTATTCACCAAGGATATTTGAATATTGTTTAAGAAATAAAGATGTCGTTTGGATAATAGGATTATTAATCCTCTCCCCCTCCCCCCAAAACATGATTTTAGTGTATTTTTTTGTGGCGTGAACTCATAAAAAGGACTTCTAAGAAACTGTGGATGTGAATACATTTCTCAAATAAAAATTTAAATTGTAAAATAGTTTTATAATAAATATTTACATTAACTGATATTTTAATATGGATGGAAGTTGCATAGATTTAAGTAAATTAAAATTGGTGATAAATACTACATATTTTATTTAAATAGTTTTTCAAGAAACTTATGAGAGTATATTAAATGGCTCTGTTATGGAATCAGTACTTACGATTCTCTGTTTTGTGTCTGGAAGGATTATTCTTACTATGCCTCTTAACGCTATAGTTTGCTACTGTGGACCTCTAGACTATCAAATGAGCAAAACCTTTTCTGAATTTTGATTAGTATAAGTTTAGTACTTTATGATTTCCAGCATTCTCCACATCATGCATATAAACTACCAAATTTATAACATTAGGGAAAAGAGGGATTCATAATTATGTTAGTTGCAATTTTTTAACTGAAAACTTTTTCAAAGGTTTAGAATATTGTAGGATAAATGAAAACTGTAGACCAATGACAGAATTTTATTGTGAAATGACAGAAATTTTGTCTACTGTTTTAAGTCATTTCCATTGTTTTCGTACCATTTTTTATTTGCTTTACAAATTGTTTACAGTGTTTTGTGATTATCTACCTTCTCCAGTGCCTTTAACCTCAATTTTGTATTTGTAGCTTCAGTACCCTTTTAATAGGCCCAGAAAACATCCATTTCTTTTTAAGAATTGGTTATCTGACAAGGTTTGAAATGGTAAAAAGTGGTTTGGGAAAAGAAGTGGGTTGCTTTGGAGTCTAAATTTAGGATGTCTACCACAAACAAGCTAAGCATCATTTCCCCACCTGAGTCCCAGTATATACAAGGCTGAGCAGACAAGGCTCTTCCAGCATTCCATCCAGAGATGGAGAGTGAGATTGAGGACTTAATTAAAATAGTGAGATAGAGAAATGTGCATTTCAGGATTAAAGGTAAAAAATCCTAAATACTGAGTAAGGGTGATGCAGTATTAGAAACTATCCTTTGCAGAATTTTAGCCTCCATTTGACTTGAGTTAAAGTAGTCAAATAGATAAAAAGCCTTAATTTTCCACTTTCTTGCCACTAATGGTACATTTACTTATATTATCCCTCCATAGTAGTATATAAAACTTATGTGGAACACATTCCATTGTACATTCACAAGCAAATTGACTGCAAACTTAAAAATTGTATTTACAACTTAGTACAAATATTTTAGGCCTCAATCCTATCTTCAAAATCACTGATATTTTAAATTTGGCAATGGAAATGAAATTACTTTTTAACTAGAATGATTGCACTATAAAATGCTTGTTAGTATTTTAGGAAGATTGGAGCACCATCTTTTGTTTTTGTTGTTACTATTTAAATATTTTTCTATTCCCCACTATGAACTAGTACTCATACAATAAATTAATAAGGTTTTGAATTTTGTCATCTTTGGGGTTAAATTTTGGCCTGGTGTTCACTTTCAAGATAAATTGTTTAATTTTGAGATGAAATGGTCTTAAGTATGATGTGTAACACACCAACAGATAAACATGGCGTGCACAAAGACACTTTACTATGGGGACTGTACTGGAAGTTTTTGAAAGCATGTGAAATCGCACCTAAAATTGTATAACTAGTGACTTTAAGCAGCAGTGCTAAATTTCTTGTACTTGATGAATGAATGTATTTAATCAGTTACTTCTGTTAAAATGTCTGTCATTTTGTTTTTTAACTGTGTTTGTAATTTGTACTATTGATGGGGGGTATTGGATTGCGGGGGTTATTGTCGATGTGTGATTTGTGTTTTTATTTTGTAGACTCATCTAATGTGATATACCAATTTTATAAGTGATATTTAGATAATTCTAATAACTGTATATTTGACAACTTATTAAAATGTTTTGCATTGGACCTTTTTTCATTAATTACAGTATGCTAGCAGACTCAAGGTTGTTTAAAAGTAACCCACTTAATTCAACAACTGCTTGTATGTCAGAAACTATAGGAGTTGTTAGGAATTCAAAGATGAGGTGTTTGTAGAAAGATGCAAACACATTGGAAATAGCCAAGTATATAAACTTTTGTATTTTTTTTCTATCATATGAACTAAAATCTTTGGCATGAACCTAGTAGTAGAGGTGACTGGAGGAAACAGATTGATCTGACTGAAAATATATGCTATAATTTTAAGACTGAAATAGGTAAGATATTTTTGCATGTGTTTAAAATTGCATGAATTGGCTGCTTAATGACCAAGTTATTAAGCAGAAACAAAGACACTGTCAAACAGAAGTCTTTATCACACACAATTCCTAGGGTTTGGAGATTAAGAAAGTTGAGTAAGTTTTAGTACTTGTTTCTCAAGATATTTGCTGTCTGGGTGGGGAAAAATACATGTAAGTGGGGCATAAAACTCTGTTGGAACAAAGATTGATGTTGAACATTACGAACAGGATTGTGGAGAGCATGTGAAATGGGGAAGTGAATGCTTGGGAGGTTGACCAGGCAACCTCTGCCTGTTTCTGTGTATGCATAGACAGATTAATACTTTGTGAATCTTATTTTTTTCTTGTTAAGACTGGGTGCTTCTGAAAACCTCACTGTCATTGTCTCCACATTACAGTTAATATAAAAACTAAAGAGTTGAAGTGGGAAAAAAGGAACATTTTAAGAATGAAAATGATCACTTAGGACTGTTGTTTAAATGCATATTCTGACTAAACAGGCTTAGATGGCATCTGTGGTGTTGATGTATACACACACTTGAAGGAGCATGTGTTGCAGAAAGTTCCTTGATACACAAAGTGCAGTGGAATTTGGACCAGGTTGAGCAGAGACCTAGCTAGAACTGCTTGACAGCCAAGAGAGCTGGCATTTGAGAAGTTTGGAACAATGCAGCCAGTAGATAAGAAAATGGCCATTTTCAGTGGGAGGAAGAGTTCATTAGCTGTTAACACCTCAAACTGCCTACTGCAATAATTTTTGTCATTTTCTGTTATTGGTGGCAGCACCCTTTTTTTTTTTTGTTTATGTTCATGATTAGGCTTTAACAGCTGACCAACACTCTACATATATGCTAGTTGGCTGCAGTATGCACTTGCCATCTACACATTCTAGAGACGTTTTGGGTATAATTGTACCACTGATAATGGTTCATATGGCCTGCAAAGTATTTGATAGGTTTCTAAAGGCAGTTGGGAAGTAAAACATTTGTTAATTTTATGGTGCCTGGAGTGAAATCGAGCCTTGTGTATGCTGAACAAGTCTGCATCCCTTAAGATTGTTATTGTTTGACAAGGTATCTTGGAATCCTTTTAAAATATGAATACGGATCAAATAGCATTTGTTTTGGAAACAATTGCAATCTTGGTACACTGAGGGCAGTTCTGAATATCCTCTTGTAAGGTAAATGCAATACAGGTTTTTTGTTGTTTTGTTTTTAAATAGATTTCCACAAAAAGTTGTTTTCGATGGTAGTTCATTGGCTGGGCAGAAGTTCTAAAACAAATAATTCTGATTGGTTAGTTAATGTACTCACAAATGAGAGATGTTGAAGGGCTGTGGATACTGATTTCGTTTGTTTATTCTGCTGGAA